ATTTTTATTGTTAACTGCTATTTAGATAATTTTTTATCTATTTCTATAATATAAATCTTTTTCTACAGTATCTTCTATCTCTTAGATTATTATATCCGCCTTGATTAAATATTAATATAGATACTAAAGTTAATATATCTACAGTATTGAAATTAGAGATTCTAATAGTAATATATAGATTAAGAGAATTAAGACTATTAATATAAATTATAATAAATTCTATCAAAGCTATATATATAATTTTAATAAATTTTAAAAATACTGTTAAGATATATAATATTTTCTAATATCCTAATAGATATAGATTACTATAGATTAAGCGGAGCTTAGTCTATAAATCTCTCTTTTTTAACAATATTTTATTCTATTAATCAGCTATATCTATCTTAAGTATAAGAATAGCTATATCTGAGAGCTTTTCTAGAGTCAATAATTAAGCTATAGTATTTAAGAGATAATTCAATATAGTATAGAGATATAGATAAAGATATTATAAATTAATATAATATATAAGAATTAAAATATCCAGATATAAAGATATTTCTAGAGATTTTAGATTTCCAGAATAGAGATAGAGATAACTGTAGAGTATATAGATTATTATTTATTAATACTATTATTAATAAAACACAGTTCTAGTTTTCTATTTTTATTATGGATACTATAGTATCAGCTTTTCTTCTATATTTAAACTATCTGATAGCTTACAGATTAGTAATCTATATATAATATACTAATTATAGAATATAATAGAATCAGTAAGTTAGTGATAGCTGATCAATACTATATATTCTTAAATAATAAATAGAGCTAATCAAGAGAAGATCTCTATTTTCTATATAGATATTGAAATTATTAATCTCTAGAAGATTATTAATTTAAGACTATATATAAGCTTAACAGTATCTTCTAATTCTCTTTTCTTTCAAATACCAGATATTATACTGGGAAAATATACTTTAACTGCTATTATACTGTATTCAGTTCCTTCTCTACTAGAGATATAGAAAAGTATCTTACTACTAGTTTCTATATTATCTTTATACTACTTCAGTAATTACTGGAATAGGACTTCTAGAAATAATTTATATAGTTCTAATCTATAGAATTCTATTTTTAGTCGATTATTAACTATCTACTAGATTACTTTCAGATCTCTATTATCTATAACTTAGACTATATCTTGGTATAATCAGCCGATTCTGACTATATTAGAGAAGAATAGACAGTCTCTAATTAAAATAATAAACCCAAGTTTTAGAAGAGATATCTTATTATATATATTACTGTTATAATATAGTATATAAATAAAAAGCTCTTCTCTCTACAGCTCTATATTAATCTATTTATTAACAGCTGATAGTATCTGGACAGTTATAGTAATCCCAGATAAGATTATAGATTTTTATCTATTATTAATAAATATTTCTGTTAATAATTCGATATTATTTTTCTTTATTAATAGCTCTTTTTTTCTATATAATATTATATTTAAAGTGATCTGCGAATCTAGTATAATATTTAAAAATAGAGCTTATATTAATATTCTATATATTATTAATTCTACAGAGTCTATATAGTTTCTAAACTATAAATATAAAAATTAATTTAACTGTTTTTCTCTAAGCTATTTTATCTTAAATCCAGGAAATCAGCAGACACAATATTCCAGTATAATTAATACTGATTATATTTATATCTTATTTATCGAGGCTTAATATAACTGGTCTATTACTACTATAATAACAGTAGTTACAGTATATTTAATTTAAGAACTGAGATTCGCGGTAGATTTTCTATTATATCTGCTAGATAAGCTATTAACTGATTTCTTGTTAAATAAACTAAGATAGAGATTCTATAGTAGATAATCTATTTCTCTTAATAATAATATTTCTATTACTAACTATTTCTTTCTTACAGATAATATATAGAATATTTTAAAATTATTACAGTAATAATTAATTACTTTCAGTTTCTATATTAATTATATAGATTTTGTATAGAGAACTTATATCTATAGTTAGAAACTAATATTCTCTTAATATATATAAATAACTCTCTACTGTATAGACTTTATTCTTGTATCTCTTATATCTTCTGTTTCTCTGTATCTACTATCTCTGTACAGAGAATATTTCTACTGGAAACTCAGTCTATAATAAATAGATTAAGAAAGCGATTAAGTATCTATATTTGAGCTATTAACAAAGATATATATTAATTGTTAGGGATTATATATAGAGATATAGATATTTTGTCCTGCGGTATAAGTTTATCTCGAGATCTACTCTCTATTCAGCCAGCTACAGCTGGACTGAAATAATTATTGGAGTATATAGACTATTTGAGAGACAGTATCAATTATTATTTAGTTCAAGATATATAGATTATAAAGAAGAATAGTAAACTTCTAAGACTGGATATTAGATAATTTCTGACCCTATATTTAGAATATATTAGTTAATAAATATTTATTATCAGTATCAAGGATTTTTTTACTGTATATTAAGTTTACTTAATTCTACCAGTCCCAGTCACTGTTTTATATCTATTTTTTTGTTATCCTTGGACAATTAATCAGCAGTATTTTTTATTTTCGGAGTAAAAGATATATTAGATCGCTTTCTGAGATTACTGGATAAATATAAGAGAATATAGCTGAACTCTCTATTTATATATAGATCCGATATTTATATTTAGAGATTATCTCTCCGCTGAAGAACCAGTATTGTTCTTATAATAGAATTCTATAAATTATTATATTCTCCCAGAGAAATATAGAATCTTGTCAAGAGAAATAAAGAATATACTGAGAAACTTTTAAATATAGAACAGTTTATCAGAATCCTTGGGCCAGATTGATAGGGTCTTTGTACTTGTTATACTATTAGAAATATATAATTTTTTTATATAATATCTCTCTAACAATTCCGGTCACCCCGAAACTTTAGCCGAGTCTTAGAGAGCTAGATTATAATTTATGTGTTTTATAAATCATGTGATGGACAATCAATCAATCAATCAATTAAGATTCTATTAACCTGGTAGAGCCTAACTACTGAACGTCTAGCTATGCAGGTGCGCGGGAGCCTAGAATCTAACCGTAAACGCCATATATCCCACAGAAGATAGTCTAAAATCGAAAAACTTTTGAACACAACTAAAACTGCCCGCCACCCCCCTGGCAGCTGTCTTTTTCTACCTCCCCATCCATTGTTCCTGGTCCCTCCTAGTACTCCTAGTATGTGAATGCTGGCGTGTATATAGAAGGACTGACCGGTCCTTCCTGGGGTGACTGTATACTCACCGTCCTCCACATCTGTCCGTCTTTAGTAGTGACCAGCTTGCTTATCTGCCTAAGATTAGCTGACCGGTTTGTTCAACCGCTCGAAATTGGCTAAGCAATCCTGTCTGGTGCATGAATTCAGCGACGTAGCAAATCGCCTACGGATGGGACATGATCCCGTTGTAATCCATCCTTCCTCGGACATCCGGGTCCAATTTGCTGAGCATTATACGCCTGAGTTCAGCGTATAATGGGCATTGTAGCAGAATATGCCTCGACGTCTGGGATCCCAGCGCATAGTGGCACTGGTCCGAGTCTACCGCGTTGATTTTATATAGAAAGTGCCGCAATCCATGTCTCTGGGTACGTATCTGAATAATGATTGCTGCGTACGGTTTTGATAGATTCTTGTAGAGATCCAGTATCTTCTTGTCTGGAGTCTCTACTAATCTGTAAGTTATGCGGCCTGACCTCTCCGTTTTCCACTCCCATATCCATCTGTCTTTGATACGGTGTCGTATCTGTCGTTTAGCTGCCGCAGCTAGGCAGACAGCTTCACCAGTTCGCTGCGTGCCTTCTCGTGCGGCTTCGTCGGCTGCCTCATTCCCTGGCACTCCGACGTGTGTCGGAATCCAGTGGATCTGGACCCGGTCTTGCATCTTATATCGCCGTACGATATAGTAGATCTGGTCTACTATATATTGGCCGGACGGTCTCCGCGGGTTTTGGACTACCTGGATCCGGCTTGGCTGTCTACAAAGACCGCGGCTGGTCTGTTCTCTTTCCGCAGCGTGTGTAGGGCCATCTGGATTCTAATCAGCTCCCCTACGTAGACCATCGATTCTGCTTCCATCCCCAGCGTACCGTTCCGCATCCAGCTCTACGAGAGGCAGACGGTACTGGCTCCAATTCGGCCATTCAGGCCGCTCCTATCTATGTAGACTACAATCCTCTCTCGCCTATCCTAGTACTACCTAAAGTATTGTAGTACGGCTTCGTAGCTATTAATCACAACCACGACAGGCGTCTCCCACGGAGCCAAAATATATGGCTTGCGGGTCTGCTGTTTATACATGATCAGGGGATAAGGCAGTGTTCCATGTAGCGTCAGATCGAGTGCGGCCGCGGGTTACAGCGACGGTGTCGGGGCCGGAGGAGTCCCTTGCACGGCGGCGTTTCCTGGGGCTCAGCGATCTGGATTGGGGGGTCTAAGTTGGAGTCCCGGTGAAAATATATTCCGGGTTGCGTGCCTGGGCACGCTTAATTTACTGGACAAGTCTAGCGCTGCGTCTAGTCCCCTTGGTGCCAGAGGATGGCGCATCTTGGCTGACGCCGGTGGTTGATAAAGTGGGAGGTATAGTCGGTATACTAGTCAAGGTCGATAGGGTGTTAATAGATAGTTCGCCCTGCGGAGGGGTGTTCCCGGTGAACCTCAGTCCCTCTATAGCGGAGTCGTCCGACGCGTCTCTGGCAGCCGCCGACAGATCCCCAGATCCCTCTTCTGTCCCCGGGGCGGCTCTGGCACCCTCGGACGATCCCCCAGCGTCCTCACTCTCTGTCTCCGTTGGCTCCCCGCTGCTGGGGCCTATGTGGTGTGCGGCTGACCCCGTGGCGCTACCCACGTCCGGGTCCTGCAGGTGAGGGTGTATGGTGGAAGCGCGGCCGGTGCAGCGCGCGCCCCCGAGCCTTCTCCCGCTCCTGGATATATGCCTCACTTCTTGTGCCAGGCCATGTGATCGCCACCGCAGTTGGCGCATTTCGGCACAAGCCTGGGGGTGTCACGGTCGCGGCAAGCAGTAGTCGAGTGCTTGCCGGCGCACGCGCCACAGACGGTTTCGTTCGGACAGATGTTTCCTATGTGGCCGTATCGGTGGCAGTTGTTGCAGCGTACAATGCGAGACGCCCGGTCGTACAGGACGGTCTCCGAGACCTGGAAGTCCCAGATGGTCCCGGCCTTGATGGCGCGGTTCGCGTGGTACGGCGTGGTAAATTCAATGACGATCGAGGACCGTTTCTTGCCCGGAGAGGGGCGAACGAGCCAGCCCACGTACGTGATCTCGCAGGACTCACCCCACGTGTGACAGTTATTGGCCACGAGTTCTTGCGCGATCCGCTTGCGGTCCGCTTCCTCGGTCAACGGGCCCAGGGCCTGGCTGGGCATGTCGGCGGCGACCACCCCCCACGAGGCGAGGGCGACCCGTGCGGCGGTGCCGAATCCCTTAATCCAGGCGTCCCGGTGTGTCCGCGCGATCTCCGCTTCCTTGGCGTTGCGGAGGAAGAGCCGCAGGTCACCTGACCACAGAATTTTCGCCGCGACGAACTGGATAGAGGCCAGGGTCGGTCGGACGGCCGTGATAGCCGCCAGCCAGCGGTGTTCCTCAGCGCGCTTGACTAGGTCCTCGTTCGTGAGCCGGCGCAGGTTCCGGGCCATGGCGGGATCACCTACCTTCACGGTGAGGGCGCGGTCGCGGTCGAGATCGGCCGGACACGCCGGGCGCTGCTCGCGGAGTTGTGGTTCGACTGATAGTGGCAGGGCGAAGGGCCCCCCCGCACGGCTCTGGCGAACGTCCGCAGGGGGTCCTCCGTCCTGGCCGTGAGCTCGTTGGTGTCCGTTCGGATGTCATTGATCGCCCGCTGGATCTCGTCCATCTGGACCTTCCAGGCGTCCCCCACGGGGTAGTGGGAGAGCGCCTCGGTCACCGCCCAGGTCTTCTAGATGAACTCGATCATACGCTTCGAGGTGCCCGAGCTGTGCTGCTCCAGCAAGCTCGCCGCCTCGCGGTTGAGGTCTAGGACGCGTTTCTGAAGGGGTCTCGCCGTGTCGCCAGACGCGTCGGCTGCGCCCGCAGGGGCCGAGGGCAGCGACTGGGTCGGCGCCATCTCCTACCAGGTCGATGCTGGTATCAGGAGATAGCTCTCGTTCGGACGAGAAACTAGGCAAATTTTGGGCCGTTTCCGGCGTGGGGTAGTGGCAGAATTTAAAAAAAAAAAAAATAAAATTCGCGAAAGAGTTGATGTTTTTTACATGTAATGGACATTGCTAGCCTGAGACTAGTGGCCTCAGGCCGCTTTAGTTAATGATAAGAAATAGAGTAGCATTCTCCCTCTCTTGCATCTAGCTCAATTGGGAATATATAGGGTGTATTACTGTTTTTACTAAAACTTTTCACTGGGCGCCACGGAATAGTTTACTCTAACAATCCCGATATCAGCAAAGCCTCCGATATTGGCCTGTTCTGTGTTGTATACCAGCTCGGGATAAAGACCAGATAGATTTATAGCTTACTGGTTAGCTTCTATTGTATAAATAAATCTTTTATTATTCTTTTGTAGTAAGAGCTGGCTTCCGATATATTCAATCAGATCTTGAGTATGTTCCCAGTAAAGTGATAAAATATCTCTAGATTTAGGAGATCTTAATAAAAATACTCTATAATTTTAAGTATTTTTTGGCTTAAAGAAAACTATATATTCTTAAAATTTATAAATAATATAATAGTAATATAAGTAACTGTATATAGTTAATTACTGGATCTTAATATATTCAGTAAGTAAGATATAGTTCCTTTAATATTGGATATAATAGTCCAGACTCGGCTTACAGCCAGTTATTCTTAATATACAGCGCTGGAATAAAGTCTATATATCTTATTATTTGGTTAGTAACAGTATAATCTATCCTATAGGTAGGATATTTTATATCTTGTTTCTACAGAGATCGTATTGTCTGTACTTAATTAAAAATTGCTTAAATATATTGATTGGCTGGCCTTGAATTTCTGGATTTATTAGGATATAATTATCATAAGATCCTCTAGTATCTATATACAACTCTGTGTTCCAGATGGATAGTGGGAGATTATAGATATTATAAACTGGAAATACAGTTCCAGAAATACTAGCGTAAGTCTGGACTGGATAGAGAGAAATAGGGATAACTGTGACAAGTTAGATCATCAGATTATCTCAAGAAGACTTAGATTTTATTTACTAGCTGCTTCTCGATAATATTGTATAAGAAGATCCTGGAAATTATCAAAGATTCCTAATTTGTTCTGCTCTGTGAACTTTCCTTTGATAATCGATATTATATTCTCTAGTTAATCTGATATAGTTGGCCAAAGTCTCTGTTATACGAAGATACCGACAAGGAGGCCAATCAGGTCTATCGAACATCAGACTATCTCTTCTATATAAGAGCCTAGCATATGGTGCCTTTTACCATTCTTTGATAAGGTATGAAGCCGGGTATGAGGGATCTTGCTGGGCCACCAGTCTGGTCGTGCTGCCTCCCCACTTTTGTATAGGAACCACCTCGTTTTCGCTGGTTCAATATGTCTAATAAGCTCTTTTGCGAGAATATAACAATTGTTTCTACCTAAACAATCCAATGTATATAATAAGTAGTCTTTATTTATCAGCTATCACAGTATTTTGAAAGTTTTGTGACTGTACATACTGTTTATCTTCTTATAGGACTTGATTGTAGTGTCTGATATCTTCTCAGCCTTATTTTTCTCTAGAATAAATATCTAAGTAGGAGACGAGTATGACAATAGCTGAGTAGATTTTTCTATCATCTAATAAATACAACGGGGATCAAGCGAGATTTGTCTATATATTACTTACCGGCTGAAAGCTCATAATATAGAGTAGTGATCTCACAAAGGTCCACAAGTACTTCCAGGCACTCATTCAACATGTCGACCCGCCTTATATACATAAATATATCTTGAATTTGGTTCCTTAGCCATAGGCACTGTCATGTGAATACGTAGACCAGAATCTGTATTCGATCTATATTGTATTAGTATATTTCAACAGAAGAAGTACAGGTATCCGTGATATTTAATCTATAGTCATTTTTCAAATGGTATAGACTTCTGTATAGGATTTCAGGAGGCTACCAAGTTGGCTGTCTCTCATTGTGCCGAAAATCTTTTAATAAAGATTGGAGATAGCTAATAATCTCTTTTACTAATGCTAGACAAGTGCAAGGCTGGAGATGATTTAGTATAGTTATTAGATAGTATCTAAATCTCCCGCCATCGCATGTGTAAAATATATAGTGGTTTTGTCTTTCTTATACAATTTTGCTGAAATCTGTATATAATTAATTATATAAATTCAGATTTATTTCTTTTTCTTCACTCATTGTACGCGATTGTTCTGGGATCTCTGATACAGTAGTCTAGTCTCTGTACATTTCAGCTGCGATAGAAATAGATACATCGCTATAGATAGAGAAAATATCAGGAACTATCTATATCTATTAGTAACAAGCCGCAGCGGTAGTATTATACTTTTCTACTATTCTATAAGCTATGATATACACTTACAGCTCTATATATCTCTTCTACTATTTAAATATAATTATCTAGAATATTATCCTATATTTTCGAATATTTCTATATCAGTGTATATCAATATATATTAGAGAAGATATAAATTAGAAGTGTTGATACAGCTATTCAAAAATTAGTACTTTATACTAATATTTACAGTACTGGAATATAGGACAAATCTAAGGAAATAACTAGATTTATCTCCTGTATTGAGGCGATATAGCAGAATATAAGAGAGTGTACTAGACCATCAAATCGGTATCCTCTCGCTATATCCAGAGTAAGGAAATATTTATCATTTTAATAGCTCAAGGATATAGATTATCTATACTATAAAAATCTTTCGAGTTAAGATTGAAAGTAAATAGATAGTTTCTATCAGATATTATCGAAGACTCTTGTGGTTGTTTAAATATAGTATAATTTAATTGATATTCTGAGTAAACTGGATATTGTATAATATAGATTATAAATATTTTATCTTATCAAAAAAAGTACTGTAGATTACTGGAATCTGTCAATAGCTACTATAATTATATTTTGTCTAATTTACAAGCTGATAGTAAATATATATTCTTGTATTACAGATCAACTCTAAGTCCAGGGAAGCTAGATAAAATTAGATATTGTATATAGAATAGATCTATTACTGCGTATATGATATCTATCAGTTTTGGAGATAAAGTATAAATAAATTCTGTGAATAAAAGTGATCTAAATAGATAATACAAGACAGGATTAACTTATTAATATCTAGAATATACTATATTTAAAGAAGATTAACCGATAAAAGTATAATCTTGATTGACTAGTCGGAAAATTCATATATATTCTGTTCGTGCCTGTGTGACTAAATGGAGTAGTGCCAATATTAAACAGCTGGGAATCTTCCGACAGCCCGAGTATTTTTTTATGATAAAAAAATACCACACCCCAATCCCTACACCGAGTATAGCTAGTACTTCAAGTATGTTTCATTGGTCTTTGGGGTGTGGCATGGTACTGTTGTCTTGTCACATATTAGGGGGATTCATGGGCTTAATCGGACAAGATGAGTGCTTAATTGCAAGCAGATATTTATTTATAAAATGGTATGATTTATGTAGGATATGGTCACATCTCCATCCTCTCCCTTTTGAGGAGCGCTCTGTTATAATTGTGAGGGGGGCAGCTCAATTACTTGCCTGTTTTCTTTTTTTTCTTTTTTTCTTTTCTTTTTTAATATACTATTGACCAACAATCGATAACAACTGAGATTTCTTTATTTGTCTACAAACTAGTGTGAATACCAGAGGGACAAGTCAGAGCTTAATTTAGCTGGATAATAGTACTAAATTAGAAAGTAGTCTATAGTATTAGGTGAGCTATTACTGATAATTAAGATCTGTAAGAAAACTCTATATATATCTTATAAGACTATCTGATACTTGTAGTTTTTTCTAATAATATAATATAAATAATATTCTGTCTTATAGTTATTTATCTTAAATCTCTAAGACTTTGTTAAACTATAACAAGAGAGTAAGTCAGTAATAATTATTATTATATTTAATATAGACAGTATAGAAGTTTTATATTTATTATTATTATATAATTCTATCCAGTACAGTCTTTTGATTATATTACGAGTTTTTAAAATCTACTCTCTATTTAATATAGAGATCTATAGAGTCAGTATATAGAATAATAAATATAGCTAGTTTATATATATTAGATATCCCGGGTTACAGAATTCTTCGCAGTAGAAATATATATTTTTCTCTCTTATCAGTTTAAAATACTTATTTCTACTAAATATTATCTTATAAATAACTAACAAGCAGTCCTGGCAGATATAGATAGACAGAGACTGAGACAGAATATTTTAGATATAATCCAAAGAATTACAGGAAATATTGATATTAATATAGAATTCGACAACCTACAAGCTGAGGATCTGATTAGAGAATCCTTAAGAAATACCGTAGTATATTTATAGAGATAGATAAATAATATAAGATTTCTGAGTGCTCTCTATTTTAATAATTATTTAACTAATATAATAGCTACAAAAGAACAATATTTTTATAATAAAACAGAAATCTCTTAACAGTTGAACAAGATATATAGAGTTTTATATAAAGATCTAGAAATATAAGTAAATATAATATTATATAAATTATTATATAGAGTATTCTATCTTGGATTTTTAGCCAATTACTTATCTTTTTATCCTGTTTAAGAGATTTCTTCCGCCCCGTGTATTGACAGAGCTTATTATTAGATATATAAGATATTTGATATAAGTTTATCTCAGTATAATATAATATATAAGTAATAAAATCGATTGATATATTTGATAATATATAATACAGAAGTATATTCTATATAGTATAGTAACTTGGTTGATAATACTAATATATCTAATATAAATATAGAGTTTCCTATATATAAAAGTACAATATATTGGGTAAGAAATACAGGAGAGTAAAATAATATTACAATATATATAATTCTTGGGTTGTTGTATTGATTGATATATTTAATTAGATTGAC